AGGAGCAGACCAATAATCCAAGAAAACTTTGTCTTTTTAGCAGATGAAAGAATATTAAGTTTTAGTACACTATTGATATTAAGCTTATGTTTTAAAACCCTTCTAAGAAATGTATTCAATCTTATCCAACTTGATCACATATAAAATTTCCTTCCCAAGATTCCTTTTTACAAACCTACAGCTTGCCTGTACCTCTTAGTTTGCCTCTTCTTACTCATTCAGATATTACCAACTTATTTTAGGATAAACCATTTCCTTTTAATTTCCTCAAAAATGCACTCCATACTTTATATCTTCTTTTACTGAAAACACATATTATATCCTTCCATAGTAAAAGGCGAAAGATTTGTACGATCTGAAGCGAAACCAGAGTATATATATCCTTCCATAGTAATTCGAATTCTTAAACTTTAGAAACCTTAATTTCTAATGACAACTAAAAAGTAAGCAATTAGTATTCTTTCGATTGGCAAATTTATAAATACATTTCATAATTCCTAGAAACAGGCTCTTTTACTGGCAAATATATTTCACAATTTTTAGAAATGTCCTTCCTCAACAAAGCACAAAACATTCATTAACAGATCCAAATTTATCTTTTAGTTTTTCTGCAATAAGTTAAAAGTAGATAAAGTTATTTAACAATGAATGTTACAGTATTTTATCTTATTTGGAAATGATCTGTATAGTCAGTGAATTTAACCTGGCTCATCATTTCATTTGGCAAAACTTTTTTTTTATGTGTGTGTGGAGGGCAGTGTCACTGGCCCTCATATGTGGGATCTGAACCGGGGCCCTCTGGTGTCCCAAACCAGTTCTCAACTATCACGCCACTCGGCCAGCCCTTGGCAAAACTTTTTAACATTTCAAGTTACCAAAAGATTTTGGGAAGCTATGCAAATAGACATACCACAAACATAAATAATGCTGAAAAGTTCACCCCAAAACTTTTTATCCCATCTACATGTATTTATTTTACTTGTTCTTAATAATTATGTTTAGGCTACCTATGAAAATTTCATCATACTGAGTTATTTGTCTTGCTGACACATTTTGCAACAGACATGAACTTATTTGACTACTAAGCCCAAGTGGAGGAATAAAAGCATTATACTTAATGCTAATAACTCTAAAGACATGCCTATTTCACCAACCAATCTAAAACCAGCTTTAATATTAAATATTTTCTAAGATCACATGATCCTGAAAAGCATTGGGGTTAATGTCTATTCTATTTTTGAGAATTTTTAGATAAATGCTTAATTCCTTTAAATCAATTAAACAGAGGTTTGTTTGTTTTGTTTTGTTTTGTTTTACAAACAATTCTAGCAATATCCTCTGGAGGTAAAACATACATACATATACATACATACATATACATAAAACATACATACATATAAGTAGATGCAACTAGAGACCTGAGAGTTTCATTTTGAAATTTCGGCCCTGCGACAGGTACAATAAGGTAAACAAACAAACAAACAAAAAACTAATTTATAACAGTTGGAATAAGTTAAGTTTATTCATTCAGAGGGTGAGCCTTTCTCTTACTAATACTTACGGTGAAGACAAGATTTGTATTTTTCCTTGACAAAGAGACTTGGAGCCAGAACAGCAGATTGTCCTCTAAAAAAGCACTTCTTTCCTCTTTTTTATTCTTCAGTCAGGAATTGAGGATGGTGAAGATAGGTGGGATTTGAACTGCTTTAGAGTTACATTTCTGATTTAGAACAGATGCATAAGATAAGGACAGTTGCTCTCAATTGCCCCCCAAAATTAGGTTGTAACTTAAATGACACCATAGATTGATCTACCCACCCAACTACATCATTCCTACTTTTCTTCTTTCGCTCTGGGTGCTGTTTTATTTTAGCTTAGGAGAGGAGGCCTTAAAAACATTCCTAACAGGCTATGAATCTTTAGCTTCCAATTTTGCCAATTTTCTGATCAAAAAGTTATCCAATCCTTTAAATATCTTTTCAGGCTTCAGGCAGGAAAAACAGTAAGCACCTGCTCAGATGATCAAAGTTTTAGATGCCTTTTAGAGCTGTTTTTTAAAATCAGTTTGTGTTTTAGAAGCTTCTGCATGTCAATCAAAACATGCATTTCATTGTCCCTAAGAGGTTTGAAATTCTTTCTTTAAGGGATGCCCCTTAAGTTGGACTTAAAATAAAGTTTTCCTTAATGGCCATTAGAGTTTTAAATTATTTTGGCTAAATTGACCCATCTTACTAAAAAGACACAAAGGAGGAAACAAAATGTTTGTATATATGAATAGCTAGAGTTCCTGGGAAGGAACTTCTTGGGAACTTTTTAGAGGGTCTCATGTTAAAGATAAATTCCCCCTGAAAGCTGTCATGGCCAGACAAAAAGACATGTTAAAGCTATCTTTGGATTATTTAATTCCTTAGCGGCCTCTAAATACCAATTGAAAAATGCTTTTCATTCAGTTTGTTTAACATTTCTAAGACATAAATATATTAATTTCAGAATCTTGAAAGATCCCTAGAGTGGCCGCTGCTGATTCCAAATTGCCCTTCCTTTTAGAGTCCATCTAGACAAATACTTAGCAGAGGATGTACCATAAATCCAGTTGTCATTCCTGGATGGGATTGTCCCTCTGTAACAGACTTAGAAATAGGTCCCTATGAAAACCAGTATCAGAGGACCCAACAATAAAGGTAACGTCAGCCAAAGGAAGGAGGGCTGGAACCAAGAGGACTCACAACTGAAACCCCGGAGCTGCTGGGAAGATGACAGAACACAAAGGGCTCGAGCAGGTACTTGGCTTGAATCCAACGGTGGCACTGGAATTGAAGTGGAGTGTTCTTTGGATCCCATGTTAAAACCATAAATGTTGAGCAAACTCAAAAAGAGTCTGGAGGCTTTGCTAGAAATGAATGATTAAGATTTCTTCAAAGGTTTTAGGGTTTGCAAATCGGAAACACAACTAGGCAATACCCACAGTGTTCCAAAGAAGAAAGAAAAGGTAAGGGTTCTTATCATAGAAAGTACATTCTTGAGAAGAATCAGCCCTGCATTCTTAGCCTTTGGATTAGTCTGAGATAGTAATCCTCTAAATAACCAGTGGTCTGGATATGTGAACATTCTTTCCTTAGTCCTTCAAGGGGGTAATCAGAGGGTTATCTGGAGGTTTGATGTATATCCAGGCATTGACACAGGACTGGAAAGTTCAAAAGTTTAAGTTCCCAGGCTAATTAAAATTAGAATTGTTTCCTGGTACTTCAACCTACTTGATTTGAGTAATGTAGCACCTTGACTATAGTGACTCCATTTTATTTCTTCATCCTATTCCTCAAAGGATTAATATAATTTTCTTCCCCTTCATGTCTTCTCTAAACTTTGGCTTTTTAACCATAAGTCCCAAAAGAAATCAAAGAAGACGTTTTCTCGCACAGTTGTTCAATAAGAGGCACTTTTCACTCCTCAGTGCTGTCCTTCGTGTTGCAGGTACAAGTTTTTCTAGCTCAGACAACTAAAAAAAACTGTACATTCTCTTGCGGCTTTACTCACTTGCTCTTCTTTTCTGTATGTTGAGATAAGATAGTGTATGGCTAAGAAAGATGAGATGTAAAAATGTAGTTTATTGTAGATTTTGTTTAATTTCATTCAGCTCTTGCAGATGGGGAGCAAAGCAGTTAAAAATGCCTTTTACAGCTCCCCTCCCCTTTCTTTCTCTTCCTTTTAACTAAAGTTAAATAAAGGGATGGAGCTTTTTCAGGTTCGTGGAAGAGAAGTAAACAACATCCATTTGTCTTCTCCCACCTCTTGCCTCTAACAAGACTAGAGACTAATTATCATAGTCATCAGATGACCTAGAATCAAAGAAAGACCTCAGAGACAAAGCCTCTGCTTATACATGTGTGAAAAATGAGGCCCAGCGAGGTTAAATAACTTGCCCAGTTAGAAAATAACTCAGAACAAGAACTCTGATATCAAGTTACCTAATGATTCACTTATTCTAGTTTCTAACTAAATCTCCCAAGGCAGATATCAGTGTAAATACAGTGCAACACTTGCATAGCACAGGATACAGTTCTTCAAGCTGTACAGGTAAGAAGACTGGAAAAACAGAGAGAACATTTGACCAGCTGTTACCCAGCTTGGAATAATGGAAGTTACAGTTGGAAAGAACAGGTGGGGCCATATTGTAGAGTTTGAGTATCTAAGGTGTTTGGACTCCAGCCCAAACAGCTTTAGGGCCCATAAAGACTTTTAAACATGGGAATAACCTGATCAAAATTGTATGTAGCTGAGGGCAAGATTGACCCGAAAACGGAGAGAGACTGGCGAGGGAAGAGATCTGAGGTACAAAGATGGCCACAAAGCGACTGCCTAGGTAAAGCCACCCTGCCAGGTTTCGGGGGCAAAAAGATTTGGGAGAGGAAAAATGCTGAGCTTCTCTGTAAGACCCTGCTGGAACACCATGTCTTTGACAGCCAGCGCGTGGGAGTTTTGGTGTAGTTGTGTGTGTGAAGCGTTGGGATGGGCACTGGGCATTCAATAACGTGTTTACATTATGGCTCTGTGGAATAAATGCAGAGAAAACCAAAACGGGGGCGGGGGTTGTCACAGCAAGCAGCTGAGGGCCATCCGCCCCAACCCCGCAGCCCGCACTGCCCGGATCTCGGGGCTCAGTCTCGCCGCCTACAGGCCGCCTCGCTCAGCGAAGGCCAGGCGGGCGCCGGTCCCAGGCCCCGCCCCTCCGGCCGCGCGCCTGCGCCCTCCCGCCCCGCCCCTCGCCTCGCCTCCCCCGCCCGCGTGTTCTCCGCCGCCGCAGCCGCCCTAGAGGAGCTGGGGGAGGACGGTGGCCCGCGAGGCTCGTCGTAGACAACGCGGCGGCGATGTCCGCGAGCCAGGAGAGTGCTGCGGCGGCAGCGGCGGGGCCTCGCGCGCGGCAAGGCGGCCTGGGCTTCGGCCTCCCTCCGGTTCCTGGGAAGCCGGCTGGCGGCCAGCGCGGGAGCAGCGGCAGCAGAGGCGGAGGCTCCGGCGCGTCTCTGTCCTCCCCGTCAGCCTGAGCCGGGGGAGGCCAGGCGGCCCGGGTGGCTGTAGGGGGTCCGCTGCCCGAGAATGGGAATTCTCTTCACCAGGATATGGAGACTGTTCAATCACCAGGGTGAGGGGCTCAGGCCGGGGGCCTGCGGGCGGGGGAGAGCGTCCGCCCTGGACAGGCGGCGGGGTCTCCGCACACTTCCGGAGTGTCGGCGGCATGGTCGCGCGCGGTCCCTGCGCGGGTTCCGGCGGCGGGGGTGCGGGCCTGGGCTGGCCGGCCCCGCTCCCGGTTCGGGCACGGTTCCCGACTCGCAGCTCTTTGTCTTAAGGCCCCTTCCTGGAAATCCATTCCGCACACCCATTGCTCCGATTTCGGTTGGGAATGGAGTAGGTTTGTCTGACGTCCCTGAGCGGCATAGCCTTGCCTGTCTTGCATCCCTTTAGCCCCCAGCAGTTGGGTTTGCACACCCTGGAGGAATGCTGGGGTTCTCTGGGATGAGGGTTATAGATTATGGCCCCAGCCGCGCCACGGAGCGACCGAGGGTGGCAGAATGCGGAAAATACGAGGAATCGTTCTTGACTTGTCCGGTACACGTCAGGTTTATGAGCCTTGCCTGCACCGCCACCCCCCCTTGGGGACACTCTTCTGCATCCTGAGTAGTGATGGACCTCTCCACGTTTGCCATATTTATAATAATGTGTGCTTAAGGTTAAGCTTAAGGTCATTTCCTACTCGTGTTGCTTATTTGAGGTTTTTTGTTTCGTTTTTTTGCTTGGTTTAAAAATGGTAGTGTTCCACTGAAAGCATTTAAAAGCCATACCACATGAAACATTGTTAATTGTAGGTAACTAGCAAGTTACCCAGATTGTATTATCACTAGGGAATGCTTCAATTCGTCTAAACTCAAACATTGCCTTGAAATGCACATCAGGTTTATTAAAATTTGTTACCAAATGAATGTATAAAACTGGGGAAAGAGGATACAATTTTAACGAAAAAACTTAATTGTCATTAAGATCCAGTACAGTTAGTGGTACACTTTTGTTTCTTTTCAACTCAAGTCGGGTGATTTATCATTCCTGCTGTCAGTAACTTAATTTGTGTTTTTCTCTTGTGTAAGCTGGTGGCGGTGTCACATCCCAGTTTTCCAATACCTAAATGAATGCTGGCATCTATTATGTACAAACCACTACCCCACCTCCTCCTCCATGATTCAGCTGCACGTGTATAAGAAGGTGATGGGAAGGTAGCAGAACTGGAACTTGTGATCTGTAGTGTATCTTTTTTTCAAAAATAAAGTGTAGATTACATGATAAATGGAAGAGCAATATTTCCACTTATTTTTCTGATGTGTGGATTTTTCATAAACTGGAGAAAACCATTCTAATCCTCACTGTCTCTGTCTGGCTGTTTCTGTTGAGAAAGGGGGAGTGGGAACCAGTCACTTAACCCTTCTTGGTTTGTTCTCACCTAGTACACCAGCGATCTTGACTGTGTGACTTTGGAGCCTACAAATCTTGAAAACTTGATCTCTAGGTCTCAAGTATTGAAACTTACATTGCGACAAAACTGGGGGTGCTTATAGTAAATAAGATCTATTCTAGTTTTAACATCCATAATTTTGTGTTATTTTTAGTGAAGCTAGCTAGCACTTCAACTCTGCTATGAAATTTGGAAAGACTTAACTTGTAAATTGAGTCTAATACTGCAAGAAAATTAAATATCTCCACTTTCTGTTTTGAGCCAATGATAAAATTATTTGTCTCTGTAATTCAAGAATGAATTAGCGATTTGCCAACTACTTGCCAGTAGTAAATAATAAGGATGTGTGCACTGTTACCACTAAAAATCTAAGAGTATGTTCTTGTTAGCTGTATTTTGTGGTAAATTTTGACTGGACATTTATTTCAGTGCTGAGGAATTAATAGGAAGAGGAATTAATAAAGTTCTAGAAATTTAGATGTTAATATTGTAAAAATGTGAATAAACTATTTCTGTTCAGCTAAATGATGTAGTTGTGTTATCAGTAGGGTCACTCTTCAAAATATTCACCATTAAATCTAGTGTTAGATACTTGTTGATCTTTTGGTTCTCTATTAAGTTGGATATATGTTAGTTAGATATATCTTGGATGCTTATTTTACCTTCAACAGATACAAAACACAACCCTGTATTCTTTTCACATGAAGTCTTGGAAGGAAGATGTGGGGTGGATTACAGAGTTTGCTATGCTGATGAAACTTTTAACTGTGCCATGTCTCTTTTTTTCTGAAACCCCTTTAGAACAACTTTTTCATTTAAGCTTAGATAGGTTGTACAGTGAAAGCTAATTGCATACTGCCCAAACTTGAAAAACCAGAGTTTGCATTTAGGTGAATACGTATTTAAATAAAATAGAGTACAGACTGGTCTAGATTCTGTTGTATACATCACTTAAAAATGTTTCAATAGTCCTTTGAAATAGTAATTCTTTTCCACTGGAAAGGGGAAACCGAGGTTCCAATGGAGGGATTTTCCTAGGCCATACAACTGGTAAGTCCAAGCAAGTTAAAACACTGAGGGAATACATCGCTGATGTTTGTCTTCTTAAAGAAGAGATTGGGATCATTTTTTCCTTGTTGTTGCCCTTTGACTGTATCAGTCACTAAACTATAAGTCTTCAGGACTTGGAAGAGTTGCCATCAGTATCTTTTAGTATTGAAGGGCATGTGATCAGTGGTTGGTTTCTTAAAGGAATATTTTTGAGCACCTATTTTGTGCCAGAAACTGTTGCAGGGAATAAGGCAGGGAACAAAACAGAAAATAACACCTGCTTTGATGGAGCCATCATTCTTGTGTGGGGAGACAGGAAGTAAGCTAACTTCATCTCTATAGATAAAATAATAGCAGTTAACATTTACGGACTATGCAAGGTTAGGTCCTAAGTGCTTTACCCAGATTAGTTGATTTAGTCTTCACTTAGTTGATTTACTCTTCAGGACAACCCTAAGAGAGAGATATTCTCCCCCATTTTGCAGGGCAAAGAAACATTAGGTAACTTGCTTGCTTATGACACTGCAATTAAAAGTGATAGATCTGGGATTTTACCAAGATCATCCAGTGCCTGAGTTAGTACTCTTAAAAAAACCTTTGAATAAGGATACATGTTAGTTAAAAGGAAGAACTTTCTGACACTAATGTGAACTACAAAAGAAGTTAGAAAGTTTTCCTTTTGATAACCTTGTATCATTCTTCTGATTGGTTCTTAGAAAAGAAGTAAGTAGTAAATGTGTTCTTAAGGAGGTGCTTGTGCTGCTGGAGCCTGGCGCTGGGAAAGCCACATCTGCTGTTTGTTGTTGTTGTTGTATGGGAGTTCAAACGTGTAGAAGAGTGCATGTATTGTAGAAACTGAGTAGCCAAAGGGGTGGACTGTGTCAGCTATTAATTTTCTCCATCCAAATTCACAGTTTGTGCATGGTCTGTGGATATGGAGCTGGGTCCTTTAAATATTCTCTTTTGCCTGTTAGCACAATGTTCACCTTTGTCAGTAGACAGCATTGGAGGGACACTGCAGGAGGAAAGAGTTTTTCTTCTTGGGTAAAGTGCTGTCAGCAGGATCTGTCCTGCTCTTGCAGTGCAAACAACTCCAGTGGCTGGTTCTTTCACTGCATAGTGGTCCGCAGCAGCCAGCAGCTTCCCCTAGCACCCACTTCAGTTGATTTTAGAATGGAGACCCTCCAGCAAAATACCTCCCAATGAACAGTTTCCCCCCTGGGGGGTGGGGGGGTGATTTTCAGCCAGATCCACACCGCTACTTTTCTGACTTTCAGTGAGCCATAGCCAGTCCCAGCAAGGTCTGCATCTCAATCCTGGAGAATTGGAGGCAGCCCTGGTCAGCCTTAGGGGTAGTTAATGCTCCATATATTTGTCATTCCTACAATCTTTAGTTTTTCTTATTAGCCAATCCCTCATCCAATCCCCTGTAATTATTATTTTCTTTAAATTAAACTGCAAGTTCAAATTATTGTGTTTCTGTTTCCTGATTGGATCTCTACTTTTGCCATGTATAACCATTGCTTTTCATTCAGCATCCTTTTAGTGCAAAAGAAATGTTTTTTTCCTGAAACTTTACTACCGTTACTATAAGCAGCAAGTTTATTTTCAAACTTTGTTTCATATTGATGATACCTTTAGATTTTGAAAGTGGACTTTTTAATACATATTAACTTCATCATTTATCTCCCTTCTAACCTTTATATCCTCTAGATTTATTTATTCTTTCTTTCATTCATACGTTATTAAACACATGCTTTATTCCAGGTTCTATGCTATGGGCTGAGAGACCCATTATGAACATGACAGACATGGATTTTTTTGCTCTATGTGAGAGAATCGATAGGGCTTAGTGATAGTTTGGATATGAGGTGAGAGCGAAGAATCGGGATGACTCTCAATTTATCTGTCTTAGTATTTGTGTTTTTGGACTTTGGTATGATTCAGAGAGATAGAAGGCTTCCAGCATATCCTGACAATGACTTTTTTTTTTTTTTAATGCGTAATTTACTCACTGGTAGTTTGGGGACTTTTAGAAATTGGTAGTAGTTGGAACTGGTAGGCTGCCTGGGTGTATCAAAAGGGAAACCAGAAGTATTTTCATGACAAAACAGTAAAAGTACTGATTAGGAAACTAAAGCCTAAATGATAACTCAACATTTCATCCAAGATTGTAACAATGCATTGTTGTTTTGGCTTATCTGAATAACTGCAAGAATGCTGTGGCATAGATATTCTAAAAGGAAAACCATACCAAGCAGTGAACTTGTAATGAATCACATGCATCAAAGAATTGGAATAGCCAAAAATTGTATTACATTTGCCCATAATAACATCTCTTAGTATGCATGTTTTAGGTTCTATGGAGTATTTGTTTTGATGTATGTTATAATACTTTTTGGCTACAAATTTATGTTTTGCATAGAATGCTGTTCCATCTTGGTAATGCGAGGAATAGACTGGGGTGATGCAAAAGCCTAAGGATGGTCAAAGGAAGTTGATTTATTATAGGCATACCTCGTTTTATTGCACTTCTCAGATACTGCATTTTTTACAAATTGAAGGTATGTGGCAACCCTGCATCCAGCAAGTCTCTGCTATTTTTCCAACAGCATTTGCTCACTTCCTGTCTGTGTGTCAACATTTGTTCACTTTATGTCTCTATCACAATTCTAGCAATACTTCAACCTTTTTCATTATTTTTCATTATTAACAAACTTATTCCTGTTTGTTGTGATCTGTGATCAGTCATCTTTGGTGTTACTGTTGTAATTGTTTTGGTGCACCACAAACAATGCTCATGTAAGATGGCGGGCTTAATAAATGTGTATATTCTAACTGCTCCACTGGCTGGCCATTCCCCTATCTATCTATCTATCTATCTATCTATCTATCTGGGTTTAATAAATGTGTATATTCTAACTGCTCCACTGATTGGCCATTCCCCCATATATCTATCTATCTATCTTATCTACCTATCTACCTACCTACCTACCTACCTTTCTTTCTCCCCTCCCCCCCTCTCTGTGTCTGTCTCTCCGGGCCTCCCTATTCCCTGTGACACAACAATATTGAAATTAGGCCAATTGATAACCCAACAGTGGCCTCTAGGTGTTCAAGTTAAAGGAAGAGTCACACGTCTCAATTTAAATGCTAGAAATGGCTAAGCTTAGTGAGTAAGGCATGTCAAAAGCCAAGATAGGCCAAAACTAGGCCTCTTGCACCAAACAATTAGTCAAATTGTGAATGCAAAGGAAACATTCTTAAAGGAAATTCAAAGTGCTACTCCAGTGAACACATGGATGATAAGAAAGTGAGACAAACAGCCTTATTGCTGATATGGAGAACGTATTAGTGGTCTGGATAGATCAAACCAAGTCACAACATTCCCTTAAGCTAAAGCCTAGTCCAGAGCAAAGCCCTTTAATTCTGTGAAGGCTGAGAGAGGTGAGGAAATGGTAGGAGAAAAGTTCGAACCAAGCAAAGAAGCTGTTTCCATTGCGTAAAAGTTCAGGGTGAAGCAAGTACTAATGTCAAAGCTGCAGCAAGTTATCCAGAAGATCTAGGTTACATAAGAATGAAGGTGGCTACACTAAACAGATTTTCAATGTAGACAAAACAGCCATATATTAGAAGATATCATCTGGGACTTTCATAGCTACAGAAGAGAAACCAATGCCTGGCTTCAAAGTTTCAAACGACAGGCTGACTTCTTTTGTTAGGGGCTAATGCAGCTGGTGATAGCGGTTTTTGCCATTACAAGTAATGGCAAAAACCGCTATCACTTTTGCACCAACCTAATAGAAATATTTGCTCGTCTTGCGGAACACTCACAAACCAAGTTACTCGCAATCCAAGGTTTTACTGTATTACAAAAACTTAGTTGATACAGCAGTGGCAGGGTTTGAGAGAACTGACTACAATTTTAAGAGAAGCTCTGAGGGTAAAATGTTATCAAACAACATCACGTACTATGAAGAAATTGTTCATGAAAGGAAGAGTCAGTCAATATAGCAAACTTCATTGTTTTCTTATTTTAAGAAATTGCCACAGCTAACCCAAACTTCAGCAACCATCAAAATCAAAGCAAGACCCTCCACCAGCATAAAGATTACTACTTACTGAAGTCTCAGATAATAGTTAGCATTTTTTGGCAATAAAATATTTTTAAGGTATGTACATTTTTTTGACGATGTTATTACATACTTAATAGACTACAGTATAGTGTAAACATAACTTTTATATGCACTAGGAAGCCAAAAAATTTGTATGACTCACTTGATTGTAATACTTGCTTTATTGTGGTAGTCTGGAACCAAACCTGCAATATCTTGGAGGTATGCCTGTATTAAAAAGTATGAATAACCCTATTTGGGGGGAATAAACTGGCTTTTTACCACTGAGTTGTAACTTTTATCTTCAAGCCCATTATACAATTATGTGTTAATTGTATAGTTCTCACTGGGACGCATGTGCTACACTACTTAGACTTGGGAAGCTGTTAAAAACCACTGTTGGTGCTTTATTGTAAAAACACATGGAAACTCAAATAGAGACAAGTCTTGGCGGGGAGTGGAAAGAAGTTGGTAATGAATGTGGGTGTAGGTGTTCAGGCAGGATGAAGAGGTCAAGGTCTTCTGGATCATGTATTCCTCATTGAAATGCCCTCCAAAAAGATCTCAGACTGCTCCACAGAAGTGAGTGGGGAAGGCGAGACTAACAGAATGCTTCTGCTGGTCTTGCTAGGATGTTATTTTAAATTCCAAGGTGTAAAGTTCCGTGCACTGATTTGTACCATAGCTGGAAAGCTGTGTGAAATAGGAAATTTAAAAATTTTGTTTTTAATTACTAAATCACTGGTGTATTCTTTATTTCAGAGCACAAAGTTATCATTGTTGGGCTGGATAATGCAGGGAAAACTACCATCCTTTACCAATTGTAAGCATTAACTACTTTATAATTTTTGTTTTATTGTTTATAGTTACTTTTTCTGTCTGGGTGATATATGTGCAATGAAAGCAATAAAAAAATGATATGGAAATCTAAATTATTCTGTAAGATGTCAAGTTGGCCAGAAACCAGGAGCCAAATTTAAGTAACTGTTTCTAGAGAGCTAGAAATTTATACGGCATTGAGCATGTTCAGTTATTTTGCTTTTAGAAAATAGAGAAATATGTGTTTATATCATTTTCTGAAATAAATCTAGAGTGTTGTAAATCTAGAGTGTCCACTACCTAGTTCCGCCTCTGTTTAAACCTTTAGCTCACTCTTATGAGCTACTAGAAAAGGGACATTTGGATATAAAATACAAAAGGAGGTCATGCTGATTTACACTTGGTTGAAAAATATTCAAACAATCTAACTTCCTTGCTAATTGTAATATATTTGAACTTTTTTTTTTTCAGTTCTATGAATGAAGTTGTACATACATCCCCTACAATAGGAAGTAATGTAGAAGAGATAGTGATTAATAATACACGTTTCCTAATGTGGGATATTGGTGGCCAAGAATCTCTTCGTTCTTCCTGGAACACTTATTATACTAACACAGAGGTAATTTTTTTAGTATACTAAAACTTCTATGAGCAGAATTCTTGGGAAACACTGTCTAGATATGAACTCTTACAGTTGATCTTTTTGAAATATCAAAGTATGTTAACATAAGTAGAGTTGAAATGTAGTGGAATTTTTTATTCCCTGTTTCAGAGTCATATGTCTACTCTCATTGAACCTCTATAGAAAGAATTGGTGATTGATTAGTCTGATTGTGTATTGATCTCAAAACATGTCTTAAGTAGTTGTTTTTATAATAAACTTCATCTCACAGTTTATAATTTCATTTCTCTCTTACTTATTTTTGTCTGTAGTAGAAATCCACTTAAATGACAGGACTCTGGATGTTTGAGTCCTGGCTAAAATTTTACTATGTATTTTCTTTTATACAACACAATTGCACACTAAAGAATTTTTTTCTTTTTGGTTATAAAACTATTTAGACGTAATTGTGTTTTTATTTACATGCTATTTCCCAAGAGGAAATTTCAGACCTATGGCATTTGAGAACTTCATTGTATAGACCTTATAAATTGAAGGACTGTGACAATTGTTTTTGTAGTGCTATTATAACTTAAACTCCAAATGTATGTAGAGATGAATATTATGTCATTAAGACTCTGTTCAGTGTTTTTAATGACCTGATCCCCTAAAACTCCATTACACATTTAATCATGTTTTTTTTGGAAAAGGAAAGGTATATATGGTTACTATTCCTATATATAATGCTACAGGTGGCAAATTCATGGCAACACCTTGAAAATTAATACTTTATTAAAATGCCATGAAATAAAATGGCCTTATATGGTCCATTCTTATGTGGGTAATAAAGCCATATGTCAGCAGAGAAGTGAGAGACGAGATAAAATAGTGGTTCTCTTATCCATCTGCCTAATGGTTAATGAAATCTGAAGAATAGAACAGACCCTGAAAATTACAATGATTTATTTGGAAATGAAAAACAAGTTGTAAAAAATAAATAGTGCATGTTAATAACAGGCAGTCAGAATTAGTTTGGGTATCACAAATGCCATCATAAAATGACTATGTCTGCTGTTTCTCTTCTGCTTTTTGTGGGCATGGCACTGAGGAAGAGGTACAGTGTAGCTCAGTCCTGTGCAGCTCTTATAAGTCTTCCATTGCATCTTCTGATACTAGTCTCATCATCAAGTCAGGACAGAGTTGCACTTGCAAATAGCAGTTGTCATTTATGAAGGGAGCATGGCTTTAGATACAGATTCTTTCACTGTGTTGGTTTTTAAAAGTTGATTTCTTTATCACATTACTTTACTCCCATACACATACTCTTTCAGATTTTAAAATCAATATTAATAATACCTGTCTAGAAGTAACTTAAATTTAGAACTATAATGAATTTTTTCTTACTGACTTATAGTGTAAATAGATGGATGGTTATAGGCCTGTTATCATTCAGATATTAATTTAGAAAACAAACGCATTATATTGGTTAGAATATTAGCAGAAGATTTTAATAGAATGTTAGTATCATATTCTTTTTTCTTGTATTTTCTCTTAACGCTTAGTAAATATATTTGAATTGGAAATGGATCAGAGTTTAGGCTTCATGATGTATCGTAGGTATCTTTGCTTTTCCAATAATACAATACCATAAAGTGTTAATTTCTTGATAGTTGTAGCCTGTAAATCAAATAAGAACTTTATAAATTTTTACAAATATCAAATTATATAATCACTAATGATTTTTTTTGTAATTATTTTAGTTTGTAATAGTTGTTGTGGACAGTACAGACAGAGAAAGGATTTCAGTAACTAGAGAAGAACTCTATAAAATGTTAGCCCATGAGGTAAGTAGGATTCTGGCATGTGTGTGGGGATATTTCTATCATGTTTGTTCTTTCTACTTTCCCATGAGGATACTATTTCAAATTTTTAAAAAAATTATTTATCTGCTGGCCATGCCTGCTTTATAATTTTGACACTCCCCAAAATGAAGTATACCTGAAAGCAGCAGCAGGATTGTGGAGTCAGTTGTAGAATTTTATTTCATTTACCCTAGATAAATTTGGTCTAGAAGTTTTCCTGAGCAAAAAGACCTAAATACTAAATAGGCATTCATTTTGCATTTTGAATAGATTAATTATGCAAAGGATTATCATTGGAACTGAGATTTTAAAGTCTCATAGACACATAGTAAACCTTGATTTTTAACTCTTGTTAGGAGACTAATATTTAAATATTGTTGCTCTTAGATTTATCTGATATTGTCTTTGACTAAACAAAACTATTACTGTACACATTTTTTAGTCCTTGAGAAATATTGCTGGTAGCATTATTTAAAATTGAATGAACTGAATAATACAGTCAATAATAATAGTAACTAAAATCATAATATTTATTATAGCGGCAATTGATTTTTTTGCATGCCTTTTTCTCAACTCATTTATAGGTGGAAATAGAACGACTATTTAGATGCATATTATATAATTTTTTATTTTAGTGGAATTTTGATAAAGCTTAAAACTGAGATACCTTTGTAATAAAGTTTTATATTAATTTTATTATTGATTCGATTATTTGCTTTTGAGATTTGCATTAAGAATTTCCGTGTGTTTCAGGCAACTATTCAGGACTTAAGGAAACCTAGTAAAGTGGTTATGCAAATTGAAGTTCCTGTTTTCCTTAGGGTGATTAGGCCCATCAACATGTACTTTCCCTGGTTTGGGACTGATTTTGGGCAATAGTGATAAGTCCCTTGGGTTTTTTTTTAAAATACATCTTGCATTGTGCATGCTTTTAACAAGTTCTGATTCTAGCTTGGGAAACAAACTGTATAAGAGAGGCAGAAAACTAAGGAGTTTTTCCATTTCCCCTTTGTATTTTACAAAAATGCAACATTCTTCAGTTTATACCAAAGGGTTGTTTTATTGTTGTTTTACGAAGATTTTGGAAACAGAAAAATAAGACACGTATATTTATGTCTTGGCTATATTTTTTATTCTGTTAACAGGTAGCCTCCCTACTTGAGTTTTAGTCTAATTGGCCAGTATGTAGCAGGATCAGTATATAAAGAGCCCAGTAGTCGGGCTCAAAAAAAGTCACTTGATTTTACTTGCTGGGGGCATTAACTTGGGCAGGTCACTTAACCTCATCTGTTCTGGATGAGTACACCAAGGCCCAGAGGTTTATGTGACTTGACCAGCATTTTAAGAGCCAGGATTTGAATTTAGGCATTCTCATCATTCAGGCTTCTTGCTAGGGGGAAAAAAAAGATAGAAATAGGGCCTAGTTGGAAAGTGAAAGGAGACTGAATGGGCAGATTACCAGAGAAGAGAGGAATTATAGATGACATTGGGAACTAGAGTAAGTCACTTAATAGTGTCCTAAAGAGTTGAATAGTCAAGAGTTCTGGAGGGGGAGAAATGGATCAAAGAATAAGAATGTGTTAATGAAAAACAAATTTTGACATGGAGTTAGCCAGATGTTTATGCTTACCACAATAACCAACTAAATCTTATCATCATCACTGATAATGATTCTTTACATGTATTACTAAATAGAAAACTATAAAGTGTTTTAAAATATTGCTGAAAGCTTCATCTTAAATGAAGTACAAAACTTTGAAGCTCATGCATTTTAAAATAGTTCCAAACACAGGACAGATGGGATTTTATTCAGAATGACTCAACTTCTAGGAATTATCTTCACAAATGAAGCTCTGAGGAACAGATTGACAACTACATATGGCATATAGAAGATGCTAAGTAAATATATCTTGCATGTGCTGTTATTCATCTTCTTGACTAAACTAAAATATCTTTTTAGACTCTTAAGACCAGAAATCTGTAATATGCAGCAGAAAGTTTTTCAAAGTGTTTAAAATGGCTGATGCACAAAAGATCACCACTGTTCACCTTGTACTTTGACCTCTTGTTAAGTCAAGTTAATGAACAGCTTTAATTCAATATAACATAATTGGTTCGGAAGTTATTTAATTAAAAGTAAAGGAAGATTTTATTTTTTTCCTCTCTTCTTAAATATTTAAAAATAGGTAAAATAGCTGGGTTTTTTTAAAAAATCAAGAAACCCCAATAAAAAAAGCTTGAGCCTATGAGATCTAGAAAGGTTATATTCAATGTAGGTTTTTGTTTTTTTTGGAGACCTTTCAGAGCTTTCCAACTTTTAATCTGGGGGCTTTTCCAAATAATTTCATCACTAAAAGTTATGAATATAGATTATTTATAAATAAAATAGTATAGACTTATGTTTCCTAACTTGTGCCAAGTATTACTGTTGTCAAAAATTTGTTCTTTGAACATGTCAGCATTAGCAATTCTGACCTATATAAAAGATTTCAAGAGACACTAGCAAGAGGTATTGAAACCTAGAAGATAGGAATTAAATCCCATGGAAAGTCCATCTACTCAGTGATTCAGCCACATATCAACTATTGATAAGCATTCCATTTCCGTTTAGGATAAGAGAGAAAGAAATGCCTGTATCCTTGATCGTAAATATATATATATATATATATTACATGTGATAATGAATATATATGTATATATTATATAAAATATATATTATATATAATATACACACAGACATATTCCATCCATTCAGATTTTTGCCTTTTATATAGATAGGTGAACTGAACTATAGGTGAAACAAATTGAATATGAAACTTAAAAGTTTACATTCTAGAGCATTCTTTTCTGACCAAGCTATTCAGGCAGCTGTCGGGAACTGTAGTAGCATAGCTGCCATCCTGCAGAGGGCACTGTACTAAAAGTCAGTCTCCATTGTTACATAAAACATTTTACATAACTCCTGTTAACTAAATAAGAAATTCACTACTTATATTTTTTTATTTACATCAGAAAGAATCAAAGAAGTCAATGAAACTATTCTAACGAGGAAAATACTGTAGAGCAATGTCATTCTGCTTCAAACACACATATACATGATTGAAACCAAAATATTCCACTAAAATTCCTAAGAAGAAGAAAGATGGCATTCAGTACAGTTGAGAAAAGTTGCAGGCATAGCACTAAAAATTCAGTATCTTTTAATATATATGGGTGGAATTTTAATTCACTGAGTGCATCCATCATAGATTCTTAGCCCAGGATCCATGAATGGACTTTAGGGTGTCTTAACACCTTAAAATTATACATAAATTTTTTTTCATGTATGTGCATTTATATGAGGAAAGGGTCTGTAACTTCAATAGATTATCAGGGAAGTTCTTGGCTATAAAAATAGTTGGAGTAGAGTGAAAGGAGACCAAGAACCTTGGTTTGCTTTGGAAGTAAAACAATACCAATCATTTTGGGGCATGCATAAGGGTAAAGGTAATGCTTATTATCAGGGCAATAAGTGAACTAACATTTGTAGAACTGTCACCAAAAACCAGGTACTAAACTGAGTGCTTTAAATGGAGTAATTCATTCATTCAAATCACATCTCTGGGAGGAAGGTGGTGGTCTCAGTATTTCACAGATGATGGGCAGTAGCTATAATGGGAAGATCTCAGGTCAAGCTGGGTCCTATTATTGAGTAGCAATATAAATCACTTAATCCGAGTCTTACTTTCCTCATCTGTAAAGTGGGAATAATAAAGTTTACCTTATAGTATTCTTGTGAGGATTAAAGAGATTTTATTTGGAAAATGGTTAGTATGATGGGTGTCTTGCTCAGGTTAGATATTCAAATGTAGGTAATGAGGAACAAATTCAGAAAGTTTAAAGAACTTGCCTCAAGGTCAAAGCATAGAAGTGGTAAAACTTACTGTCTAACTGAGAAATTTGATACATTTAATGTAGTAAATCCAAGATGGCCCTATCAGATATTCAAATCTAAGAAATCTTCATGGACAGAAATAGAAGAGCAAAGTCTCAAAAGATGAATAGGATTGGGTTAGGTTAGCACTTCTCAACTGAGAATGACGCCCTAAGGCTCTAAGGCATACATTGTGTATAATGAATTAGTTTATTTCCTGTGCACCTAGAAGGTACCACCTTTAGGTAGAGGTACCTAAAGTATAGGTTGCGGTAGAACTTTGAAAAGCTCTTTAGTGCCATGCTAAAGTGTAGTTCTTAGCCACAGAAGCCTAGTTTGGGGGTGGGGGAAATGGGTGGATATATATTTGAAGATGTGATTGTTTGTTAAGTATAGCACTTAAAACTGTAAATGTAATCTAGGACTATAAGAAATATGTAAATCCATACAAGTATAGATTTATTGATTTACAGTGTGTTCAGTTTGAAGTTTACCTTCTATCAGCCTAAGATCTTTGAGATGCTTTTATGTCAAATAGTTGAGAAATGCTTGGTTACAAAATTATCAAAAATATTCTGTTCATTAATTTGGAAAATCTATGAAAAAAAGTACACTGGCCCTTATGATTTTGTTTGCTTTTATAGGACCTAAGGAAAGCTGGATTGCTGATTTTTGCTAATAAACAAGATGTTAAAGAATGCATGACTGTAGCAGAAATCTCCCAGTTTTTGAAACTAACTTCCATTAAAGATCACCAGTGGCATATCCAGGCGTGCTGTGCTCTTACTGGCGAGGGGTGAGAAGCCTTCCTCATGGCTAACGTGTTTAACTTAGAAACATGTATTTCTTCTTAAAATCAGATATTGAAGCTTACCATGTACAGAATGTTATAAGGGAGAGATGTAAGACATAGTCCATGTCTACAGTGAGTTTTTAGCTTGGTTCTGTAAACAATAAAGCACACAGCATACGAGTGTATGTGTGTATCTTTGTATATGTTATCTTTGTCTATCAAAGGTCTTTAGGCGAAAGCACTGATTATAATACCAAATTTGACAACAAAGACAAATCATCTAGGATTGATATAATTTTTAACTTATATACTTTGAGTATTTGTGGAATATATATCATTAGTTAGGATAGATATGAAATTCGGCAGTTTCATTTTTGAAAGAAGAAGTCAGATGATGGTATCTTTTTAATTTTTGGTGTATGTGGGCTTCCATTTGCAGCAGTCAGCAAAGTGGAAATATTTGGTTTTGGAGGAGATAGTTTCCTTTCTGTAGTCTGGCCACTTTGGTCTAAATTTGATTTGAGTACTGTTTGGCATTTTGACGCCCATCTCTGCCATTTGCTAACCTCTCTAAGCCTGGCTTCCCTCTAATATGAGAAGGGTTCTGGTCTTAGTGTTATGAAGAAGTATTAAAGTAATGAATATTAAGTGCTTAGCACAGTTTCTAGGTTGCTGTTAGGTAACTACTATTCATTTAATAGTTTGAAGTTAAATAATTTGTTCACCTATTATTATTATTATTATTATTTTGTGCCATTTCCTATCAATAATTTATAAGTAAGGAATCTAGTAAAAGTAGAAAAGTATGGACCATCACCAAAACAACCATTTATTTTCTCATTGCCTTTTCCCCCCCGCATTTCTGTCTTCTTTATATTGTTAGACTCATGATGGTTGTGGACAGGCAGTGAAAAAATACTTTAAATATTTTGCTACATATTGCTAAATTATTTCCTCTGGGCATTCATTATATAATTATTGATCTCTTTATATGTGTCAGGTAGTGTCAAAACAAAAAAAGCAGATATACTGTATATGAGAGTAGCTTCACTACAATAGCACCAACATTGAATATTATTGATTTTTAAATCTTTGTTGTTTATGTGACTGAACAATGATGATGCCCTCTTTTAGTTTGTTCATAGCTTTTTAGTTGAGAATTTAATCAAATGGTTTTATTTTCTGTCTAGATTATGCCAAGGACTTGAATGGATGATGTCGCGACTTAAGATTAGATGATCTCTACTGATCTCTTCTCATAGACTTTGTATAAACTAAGTGCTGGACTTGACCTGAAAGCTGCAAAAATTACTGGTTCAGATATATTTATAATAAACTGATTTAAACTTTTTCTATAAGAAGAAAAATTAAGACCACTTATTTGAAAACAAAGATGAAGTCTCACCTTCCAATCTACTTTCTCATTAGTTTCCTCCAAAGGATTAGTTTATTCCACAGGTCTTAAAGCTGTGATCGACATTTTTCTCATAATGAATCCTCCTCTCAGGACATTGTGTAGCCTGTGGTAAGTACCAAGGGAGAGGAAGACGTTTTTTAACTTCAAGAGCTTTATTATCAGTATAACCCTCCTTAGTTGAATGTTATTCTCTTCTTGTTCCATTAAGTCAAAATACAAATCAGCACAGATACTCAGTTTCCAATATTTTAAAATATGATGTTACTTATGAAAAGTATTTTGCATAACGCTGTGTATGTATTGTGTATATACCTCAAGTTCAAGTTAATGACTTTATGTTCTAAAGAAAAGTGAATAACAAAAATTAATATCTTTAATTATAACCATAATGAGATAAGTACTGACATTGGTGTTAAGTGCCAATTTGTACTTTTCCACTATGTTTTCTGTATTGTACTAACCAATCCCCAAAATTATTGAGCTGCTCTTTAGAAAGAAAAAGAAGAAGCTTGACTTTGTGTGCCTGTTTTTTTGTTGATCAGAACACATATATGGAAACGTATAATCTAATGAGTGGAATATCTATCACATTCTTGGCTTAGTATTACTAATGGGCACAATTGCACATTGAGCAGTAATCATATTGTTCCCTTTAGTGGACCTTACGCCATCTAAATTGCTGAGTAAATTGTTAATCCATTAATCAGTCTTAATTGTGATTAAAGTTACCAACTGATTTTTTTCAATTTAATTGAAAACTTGTGTGAAATGTCTACCCAGAGAAGTGTCACCTTATAAATGTTATCAAATAATTTCCATAGATTCTTTTTAGGTATTAAACTATATGTCAAGCATTTAAAGTGAATTTGAAATTAAAAGTAAAGTATATTTTCCAAGCAACAAAGATAATTTCTTAATTAGAAAAATTTTTATTTCTTATCTTAAGAGTTGAAATAGTTTGAGATTTTTTTGTTTCTGTAAGTTTTCTTTTATCTTTGTATTGTTTGACAGTTATAAAATACAAATTTTTTTAATGCTTCTAAGAATTTGGTTTAAAAATTGATTGACGTGATATTTTTACTAAGAAGTAACTTGGCCTAAAATACCTTTTGTGTTTGCTTAGGCTTTTTTTTTTTTTTCCTCAATACCTGAAAGTCAAAGGTATTTCTGCTGTAAACAAACTTATCCTAAGTATGTTAAAATATATTGTTGAATATTGTGTATCTTTCATTCCCTAAAAACCTGAAGACTTATCCAAACTGGCATGTTTTAGAATATTCAAGAAAAAAATTACTTTTAATACCAGCCTTTTAGATTTCATGAAGATTTTGATGAAGAATAAGAGTACATACTATAAGCACTGACAAAAGTTGGGAAGTTCCTTTCTGTAAAATTAAAATATTCAATATCTAAATCGAAGTCGGGCATGGGAGATCAGTGTTTAACATTGGATGTTTTATGTTTTATATTTATATTATAATGTTCAAAATGCAAGTATATTTTATTATTTGTCAACTTGCTTTTACAAAAGTAAATCCTAAATTACTAAGCTTTATTTGTTCGTATGTTCTCATACTTTTTTCAAATCACTATAAGGAATTACTTGTTATATATTAAAAACTCCCTTAAAAACCAAATTCTATTTATAGTGCAGTTTCATCAGAGACAAATACTCTGTACAGTAGTCCAGCAAATCCACACCTTTTGTCCTTTTTATTTTTTGAGTAATCACAGTTTAGTACTCTTGGATTGCTGCCATATCCGTTCGACAATATACCAGCACATACCATTGTTATCAAGGTATTGGCTAAAATTTATTCTCAGTTGGATGTTTAAAGCATTCACTACATTGTCGCAGTTGGTTTAGTATAGAAAATTATTGACATTGCATCATGCAAATGTGTGAAATCTTATACTACATTTGCAAAACTTTTTTTGTTATATTTTACCCTTCTAGGCTAGCCATTATAAATAACATGTTATCTATATACTTGTGCATAAAACCAAAATTACAATGGGGAAAAATTTTAAATTAATGTATGAAAATATATTGAAATCATTTTAACAGTATTACTTCCAAATAAGATGGAGAGACAGATGAATAGTCACGTCGGCAATTTATATGTAGTTTAAGTGGAATTACGCAAAAAGCAGTGCTTTTGGTTTTTAAATACGCTACTTTTGGATATAAGCAAACATCTTATTCAGGGTCATTGTGCTCAGCTTTGAAAAGAGCAAAGCTTCATACCTCTGTCCGTGTAGCTGGATTTAAATATCCTGTGTTTGACACTAATTTTGAAAGTCGTAAGACTTCTCTTGATATCTTGGTAAAAGCAACCATATGCTATAAGCATTTAAATATGTTTAACTCTGTCCTAGTAGCATTTATAAGCATATCTCACACATTATATTGAGGATTCTTGTTTGAAATTTTCAGTTCTATCTTCTTTGGCTCTCATGATGGGTGAAGAATACAGTGAAGGAAGGTGATTTGAAGAATGGAGAATTGGGTAGGGAATTTGACATTTTGCCTTAAGAAAAAAAAAAAAGTGCTTTAGCACTGCTTCCTGGCATTTTTAATGCAGGTAGTTACAGTGAGTTTAGAAGTGTGGCATGGAATAGAAGTTTCTGTTTTCTGGCCTTTAAGAAGTGCCTGGTAGAAAGTTCCAGTGAGATCACAGAGAAATGCAGGGCGCTTGAGGAAAGTCAGGAAGTCCCTGAGATACTCTTTGCTTTTTTGTCTGAGTGTGTAGTATTAAGATGCCTAGCAATGGGATTCTATTGCACCTACTCTTATAGGCACTTTACATTTTTTGCTGTGACTACAGCAACCACATACAGTACAGACAACCTCAAAACCTGTTTATATTAGTGTAAATAAAAAAACTATAGACAATTTTCTAGTTTTCTCTGCAGGCATTTTGGGGAATATATCTATAGTGTGTTCTACTTTGTATATAGCAGATAGCAGCACATCCCAGATTATCTGTGGGCTTGGGGTCATCTCTCAATTGCCCAGTTGTATCTTGGCATCAAGACGTCTTTCAAGGCTGGGTAGAGACAAGGTTTCTTTGCATGACTTAACTTTGATCCTTCCCACTGTCCAAATACAATCTGAAACTCCATGCTTCAGGATCAGTTTTCCCGCAGCTCAGCTCAGCCAGCCTTTGCTCTCCTGTATCTTCATTCACCATCAGTGAAGTATGTTATCTCGGTCCTAGAGGTATTCTAAACTTTGCCTCTATCCGTTGTTCCCCAAACAACTAGTTTCTTAGTACGTTTTCTAGTTCTTTGCTCCCCTCCCACCATTGGCTTGACTCATTGATTTGTACTTGGCTCATTGGAGAGTATTGTCAGAGTTGCTGAGTACATCAAAACACGGGCTTGCTGTGTATAAACAATATAATGTCCTAGCAGTCTTTTAAATTATACTCTAGTTAACATTTTAATGCTTCTTAATTTTAGCTTCACATACAAGGAAGTAGATTCAGAAAGATAAGAGAACTAACTACCTAGACTCCGCCAGTATCTTGAGCTAATAAGTTAAATGTGGAAAGGGTTCAATTATGTGAGTATTATCTTTCCATTACCAAAAATGGGTTACATTTTGGAGAATACTGATACAAATAATTTCAGTTGGGAAAAGATGTCAGACCAGATTTATATGTAGTGTTTCACCTGAAGACATCTTTACATCCTTAAAACCATAGACCACATTCCAGTTTTTTTCTCGTGTTTACTTACAGAAAAAAGATATTAGATGTCTAAAGGAATTAGGAATGGGAAGCCTATCTTTACAAAATATACCTGTTGAAATGGACTTTAAATGATATAAAAGTCATCAACTGTTATGTTTTGGCTCTGCAGATGCAGACATAGTATAGAAAATACTTCTTTCAAGTTCCACTTTTACAAAAATAAAACTTCAATACCGTGCTCCCTCAAAGAATGTATGATAATTTGAAGACCAAAATGGTGGAGTAAAAGACAGAATTTAAAAACTTTGGATGCTAAAACAAGTAACTGCTTCTATTAAATCCTAAAATTGTGTGTGGAATTATAAAGAAATTGTACCAGGACACAGTTGGGTTAATTATGCAATATTGCTTATCGTACAGCCCCTTAAATTCTAAAAACTAAAGCTTAAATCTTTATGGTCTTGCCTGCTAGATAGATCTTTAGTAGATAATTCCTATAGTCTGTACTCAAAAAGTGCCTAAAATTGATTTGTGTTGATTTTTAAGTCCTCTAATAAATTATATGTGTTTTCTATGGTATTATATGTGCTTGGCTTACTGATGGCACAACGCTGAGGGTTTCTAAGTCACAATTTGTGCTTTATTTGAGTAAAAAGCCTTGAAATTGAAAATACCCATCATAACCCTCAACAGTCCATAGTTTAAAGAATCATGACTGAAATCATTTTTTTTCTCATTGCTAATACAAATATTCTATGACCCTGATGTTAATTAATGCAGAGACTAGAAAACTGAGTTCTGTTTCTGTTTTTAAAAAAAGATTTTTAACACAGAGAAAATTATATTGTGTATTGTAAAATCCTAGTAAAAGTTTGTTGCTTGTGTAAGAGTAGCCCCTTAGTTCTCCTCATAGTGATTTGTAATTTGGAGTCATACATAGCATTTAGTTCTTGAGCCATTTAATGTGTGTGCATGCCAAAATCCTTCCTCTTTGTTTAAATTCTATGTAGAAACCAAAATATTTGATAGAATTCTATTATGTTTCTCATATGTTCTCTCTCTCTCTCTCTCTCTCTCTCTC